TGGCGACGTTGAGAGCAACACCGCGCCGATCGCGAACGCGTCGACGAGAGGACCCTGCAACACAACAGCACCGAGTTACTCTGAGCATCATCACGCGGAGCAGTGAACGCATGGTTGCAGGTGCGGGATCGGTAGTGCCGGGATGTGAACCCAAACCCGCCCAGTCTTGCAAGACCTACCACGCTGCGAGTCGAAGCTATCGAAGCATCATCGCCCTGGGGCCGCTTGCGGCGGCGGCAACATCCTACCTCGCGCATTTCCTACGACAAAAGTGATGCGGCAATGCGTGGGGACTGTACGACCGTGGACTTTGCCCTCTCATTCTGCGGGAGCAATCTCGTGGGTTTCAATCCTCTTTCGTTCCAACTCGCGCTCATTTCCCTTGTGCTAGATAGCATCCTCAAGTAAAGGTGCAAGGTCTTCAGGACTCGCCGCGTAGGCAGGACTGCGATTGCGGGGTGCCTTCCGTCTCTCACGACGCGCCTTGAACGTTGATCGGCTGCACCAGTGTAACGTCGCATTAGCTCCCAATCGCTCCGTTCCCTGTACCCCATGGCCTGTGTGCTGCAGGTTGCGCATGGTCCGTTGCTTTCATTGCGACCCTTCAAACTGCCCTGGTCTCCCGTGCGCTCTTATTGCGCCGGGGTATTTCGATGCCGACCTCCTATATCCTACTCTTGAGCACCTGGGTCATGTTTCCATGTAACTCTTGTACCCGCTGCGCGAATTCATCACACCGCCGATGCCTACCATTGCCTCGAGCCATCTCTCTTGTAGATGACATATAGCCATGTACCCGCTAGTTCGCGCATCATAACTCTTATGCAGCATGCTCGTGCAACACTTGTTCTGGAATATGTCGTCACCATTTGCATCTCGCCGTCGCAGTGTCGGCATGTGGTACGCGTAAATGCCGATTTCGAGATTTATTTGTTGAGTCGGCGCGTGTCATCGATTCATATCTGAGAACATAGCCTGGAATACGCCTGCGTATGTGATACAATATATGCTACAACTTCAAAAGGTATGTATGGAGCCGATATTCAGATTGTCGGGGAGCAGTTCCGGTTTCCGGGCGTGACCAGCTTGAGTGTCTGTGCCATTGTGGAAGATCATTCCCGGGACGCTGTACGCGCGTATGGGGGCCGGTGACTGGATCTCCAAGTGCGGAGCGCCTGACACAGTGTTGAAGTGAGATGGCACAACAACGTGTACGCCGTCGTTGGTTTCCTGTCCGCCAGGCGTCTCCAGTACTGCAAAAGCGCGGCCACCGCTACCGATCGAACTCTCGCCTTCGCTGACTTCACCGCTTTCACTATGGACATCATTATATCCACTACGACCGTACCCGCCGCCTTGACTGCCTCCTATGGAAGGCGAGCCACTCGGTCCCGCCGGGCTACTTGCGGCGCTGGGAGCTTTACTCCCGGACTTCTTCGCACCGCCGCCCTTAGCACCGGGCTGCCTATCGACGAAGCGCGCATGGCCGACACGCCAAGATTCCTTGTTGATGAAATCGCGAGCGTTGACGTGTCGGTCCTTGAGTTGAGTACGCAGGAGGTTGCGTATATCGGCGAGGACGTAGAAGAACTTGATGAAGTCAAAGAAGCTGTGGAAGGGAAAATAGAGTATTTCTGGGCTGTGTTGTACGATTACTGGGCCCTTCATATTTTCAGTCTGCCTAGTACATCAGTATGATGGATAAGGATGGAGACAGTTGCGATGCGTACGATTTCGACCGAGAGGACGTTGTACCCGTCGCGAAACACCATCAAACCCCAAATCGTGATGTCCACAAGACCGATGTAGTGAAGATATTTGGCCGAGGATATGAGGTCCATTTCCAACTGGTGCATCGCTTGGTTGGTGGGTTCCTTCTTGTATTCAACCCAGAAGACAGGAAGTTCGATCACGCGATCGGCGCGGCGGGGGTGTTCAAGAAAGTGGGCGTCGTTCAGGCGACTGGCGCCGGCGAGGATGCTCCTATCCAACTCACTCAGGAGTATGGCCCACGCTACCATCAGATCGCCTTTGGGAACACGATTCGGCCCGATTTTGGAGGGGAAGATCCAATATTCGGGTTCGTGACTGAGCATTGTCAGCGGGTGATTCATCTAGATCCGGGAGGTCGTACGTACACGGTCCGTGGCCCTTGTGGGTCGGCCAATTCACGGGCCTTGTCGACTTTCAAGTCCTCCGGGGAGGGCGGATGTCCCAACTCCGCAAATACGAACTTAACCACCCTGTCGGGGCCCAAGCGGAGGAGAGCCTCGCTAGCGAGTCGCGACTCTGCATACGCGCCGTACGCCTCGCACAAGAATATTGAAGATGTTTTCAGATGCTCCGGGTCGTTGTCGGAGCGAACGTACTGCTTAAGGCTGTCGAAATATGTATTATATACTAGTTCCGCTTTCGTCGTCGGTGTGAAAGGAAGAAAGGACTGTCGTACACGTGAGCACCAATTGACATCACCATCAGATACATATATGAACACTTACCGGCAGAGGACAGTCGTTAGCGAGTTTGAACGACTTAGGTAGTGCGACTTCATGCGTGTAGCTCTTGTGCGCCTGCATCTCCGTGAACCACATGCTGAAATGAGGTTCGCTGTCGCAGAAACTAGTCATATGAGTATAATAGTACTGTCATACGCGCTCGTATACGCACTTGGAGGGTGTCGGGGGCCGCGAGTCCTTCAATCCCTGGAAATTCCGAAGGGGCGACGCTGCCACGACTGCTTCCTCAACTACAGCCGCTCCTGCCGTAGCTACCCCGCTGTCCTGTAGTTCCCGCGGTCCAGCATCGTACGTGCCGTCTTCCCGCTTGCGCTTGAGTGAGGCAGACGGGGGTTGGGTCGAGATGGCGGTGGCATTACCACCGGAAGTGTCGGCAGTGACCATATTTTGTTGGTTTGCCAACGGCGACGGGCTGGAGCGATAATTAGTCTAGTCGATGAGCAGTATATTTTCGCAATCAGACCTTTTCGGGGTGTTTGTAGTAAAAGGGTGGCAAGTGGCAGGGGCAGACTGAGCTCCGAGACGGTTATATCCCATCATGGTAGCTTGCTCACTAGCTCGGTGGTCCGAGGGCATGCTGCGCAAGGTTGCCAGCCCAGTGCCCACACTCTCCCATGCAGAAGCCTGCCAGTAATACACGAAAGCGGTTTCCCATCACGCGATGTATCTGAACTTGGCTCGTCCGCCGACACTACGCCTGTGCATGGCAGGAGGAGTAAGGCCCAGAATCGGATGATACGGTCCGATGCGGCCACGGAAGGCTGAAGCAGCGGCTAGGATCTAGTTTACCGCCATGACGCACACTGAACAATCGGAGACATGCCGCTGGTCTGCGGCCGCCGATGATTGGCTTCATGGAATGCTGTACTTTACGAATCGTGCTCCTGTACTTTACGCTACCACCACTTCAGACTGTTGGGTTTCGAATCGTTGCATATTACTGATTGCCAGACTGGCGAGGTTCCTTTGATTGGGCCGGCGCTCTATGACCGCTCAGGCGTCTGGTCCCGCGCGCGATGGCGGCAAGTCTCCGACTGGCATGGGTGAGTATAAGAAGCCATGATATACCATAAGCTACCATCACGTAGTGAGTCTCTATCACGTTCAATACGGTACATCGGCGTTATCGGTAATCGTGAATAGGAGACTTTCTTCCCGTAAGTCTGAATGTCCGTCCTTCATTTTTGCCGCGAGTTCCTCTGAAGATAGGCAGCACTCATCCCAGAATACCTCCGCTTGCACTACCTCGACCAATGTGCTCGCGGCCTCTTCGGTCAGCCCACACTGCTCAAAAGCAATCCTTGTCACAGCCTGCGCAGAGGCAAGACGCTCGCGGGCCACTAACGCGCCGATCAGGGTGGCGAACAACGGCTCGACCGCGTGGAGATCACTTCCGCAGAATAATGCCTGACGAATTTCGATGGTTCGCACCTCCGGAAGTAGTGGGTCCGTCGGGTTGTCGTATCAGGCCGTCCGTGTACGAGATCATCTAAGTACAGCAGAACCAGCAGCGATTACTTCTCGCGCGGAGGTGAACGGATTGACCGTTGTGGCATCGTCCAGGGCGCCATTGGGCTCGTAAAGTAAGGATTCGAAAGGACCTATATCTAGAGCGACCACAGTGGAGGCTTGCGATAGAGAAGGGAGCATGATCAGGTCACGCAAAGCGCGCAAGAGGCGGTTATCTTCGCGGCCGAAAGCCCCGATGCCGGTAAGGAAACTGAGGTGGAAAGTGGGTAATACCGCCGAAGACGGCGCAGATTTTGAACCTATCGCTGTCTATGCCGGCGCCGGAAGCGACAGCTCGATCGAAGAAGGAGGATCCAAAATGGGCATTCAGTGCCTGTTGAAGTATGGCCCAACATTCCCAGTATTGATCCCCGGCGCGACTGAAACGGTCGAGTTGCACATTAAACAGTTGTGGCGAGAATGTAGGTCCGTCGACGGCAGTGGACCATGATAAGAATTCGAGAAGGGGAATGTGTGTTCGTCAAGCAAACGAGTAGCCTTCGAGTACTTTTCGTCCCACCAGTCGTCGGAATCCCGGTCGTCACCGTCGTATTCTATGTAGAAATAAAGAACCATGGCGTCGACTCGGTGGGAGTACTGCAGTGGCAGTTTCAAATGCATTGAACACGATCGATATAGGCTCCCAGTCTTCGTCCCTGAGCGCCTCAATCTTGAGAAAGACGGGCAGAGGATGCGAGCGTTGCATGAACACTTCAACGCATGATGCGTTGTGTCGTAGTGGTGCGTGAGACCAAAGTCGTCTTCCGCCAGGACAGGACTGAGAGCGATATGCCGCCATAGCTGGCATACGTGAGATATGGAAAGCGCGGTGTCGGCGAGGTCGGCATCAATTGAATGTTGAGGAGTACAGGTGAAGTGTCGGTCTTTAGCCACGCTATCCACGATGATCGTGGTCAAAACCTCCACCGGGAGAATCACGTTTAGGTTGGTGCCATTGTCCCTTTAGATTGTTCTGGATTGCCTGGCAAACGTGTGAGATGGGAATTCGGGACAAGTTTAGGAGCGTGACCCAAGCACTCAGGCCTTGATGCTGCACGTGCCACCGCCAGCGGCCATCACTGCCATCGAACTCCAGGTCGGTCATTCACAAAAACCCGCAAAAAATACATTTTTGTAGAGAAACGAGACGACGCTTGGGAACAAATGAAGCATGCCAACTTGCTACATAAGGGGTGTGGAGACTATAGCCACAAACAGCGCGAGCCAAACACTCAGTACCTCCCACCTCCTTCACTATATCCGAGAAGTAAAGCCGGCCAGACGACGGTACTAGGTACATCACGTATTTGATCAGGCTGAACAGTCTTGTTCCAACCGGCTTGAACCTGGCTTACAAGTCCACTAAACATGAGAGATGCCCCGACCAAGACGGCGCTCGGCAGGTACATGCCGATCTTGAGATCATGATGTAGAAAAAGAAGGATGCGTGCAGCCACTCCAGCAGGTTGTTCATTGTGCGCATTGTTGATTCGACGAGTCTGAACGAAGAGCATGAGTAAACCTTCGCGTGTATGTCTTTACGTATCGCACCTGTTGAGAACATGGAAGCCATATGGCCCATTGGAAGATACCGCGTACAAGATGATCGCGTTTATGTGATGCCTACACCCGGTCAGCATGACGCGGATACTATGAGCATGGACACACTCACTGATGAAACACTCTCGTGTACGCCGCTGGGAATGCCCTTTGTTGATACTTAATACATGAAGTGTCTCCAAATGTTCCTCGCTTTATAAGCGCACTCCATAGCCACGGGGTTATCCAAGATTGAGGCTGGCATCCATGAGGGTACTAAGTCTTGCCGTTGGCGCCTCCCGGGAAACTCTGAGGGTCTATATGGTCGTACAGGACGACGGGTACGCCAAAGTTGTGCGGGTACGCGGCTTCTCCGACGCCCAACGTTTTGTCTTGACCTTCAGCTCCGCGAACAGCTGTCTGACCATCAAGCGTGGGTTGAGGCCCAGGAGGCGTCTGATGTAGCCTCGATAGCTAGGAGGATGTCGGCTCTACGCGGGCTCCGCGAATGACACGTTTCTCTGACGACGGAACATATCCGACGAAGACGCCGAGACCGAGCATGGTGTTCGCGCGTCCGAGAGAAGGGAGGAGGGATAGGAGAAATCAGCGATATCAGCGATGATGGACTCCAGCAGAACGAGGGATTTGCGGGGGAGGGACGACTGCAGCCCGTGAGATGCAATCCCGACGTAAGCTGATCAATCGAAGACACAGTGGTGGGCGGGCCCGTTGTGCCAATAGTTAACAGTGTACGCTGTGATCAACCAAACTATGACAGGTGAGGATCGCGCGGTACAAATGGAATTTGCACACTCACGAGCATACCCCGAGCAACGTCCTTTACCAGACGCTATGCGACATCAGCGCATCATCTCGCGTATGCCTGATCCCTGAGTAGCACCGTAGAGAGTCACGGGTGCCGATGCGCCGAGGAGGGAGAATAGACGCGACATTCTTCGACGTGAGCGAGGCAAGAGCAGTGGTAGTATGTGGTCAGCCAACGGAGCTGAAAACGTCCCGGAAGTTCCGACGGAATATAGATAATCCAGGCACATCTGCCGGGATGCAAAACGCCGGCTAATCATTCGGATGTTAATTTCTCGCCACCAACTTGAAGACCCACTAAGTACTATTCTGATTATACACATTCATCGTATAGTAAAACCGAGAACTCCACCTGGAAACAACTCTGGGCTTTCAGTCGTCTTCACCTAGTGCGCTTCCCTCGTCCGCTCGACGCCTTGTTACCATCAGAGTGGCCACCCCGCTTGGACCGGCCTCCCCTTCTCGCGCTCTTCGCCGCCTTTCCTCCCCGGCGGTGAACGCCGCCGACGGCTGTCGCACGGCGTGGTAGATTGTCACTATCAGCGATACCGTTTGACCTGCCATCGTCTTGATCGCGTGGGTCTCCCGCGACCACCGGCGCGTCCTCAGCGTCCTCGTCTCCGTAATGGTCGTCTTCCTCGGCCGTTGCGTACTTCCCCCTGCGCTTAACCGCTGTACGCCTCTCGCTCCTCGCGTGAGCAAGACGCTGCATCTCGGCAATCTCCTCAGGTGGAAGAAGCGTTGCGGGGTCTAGGGCGATACCCTCCTCCGTATGTGTGGTCAAAAACCACGCCGCCTCTTTTCTCATACCGGCGAATTCTTTTCGCCACTTCGTCGCCTGCGCTCTCCGTATGAACGCCTGCTTCGAAGCATATGCCCGCTTGCCATCTACATAACTTGCATCGCTCGCCCACGCATATCCCTCGCCTAGGTCAATGGTCTCTTCGCGATCCCGGCGTTCGTCCCACAATCGGGCGATTGCCTCACTGGAGTCAATCGCGCGTTGCATCTCAGCATCGAGCAGTCGCACCTCCTGAAGCCAGTGTTGGGCGCGCGCGCGAGATTTAGCCCATTCTCGCATCAATTCTGCACATGGTCGTTAGTTATCGACCTATACTATGCGCTCTACACGTTGTGCCCTACCATCAGTGATCTCTAGAACGGATTTCTCCTTGCAGTTGTACCAGATCCACGGTACGTTGTGCGCCGTATCGCCCGAGTTGTGCGGCTTGGCTCGCCCGCTAAGGAAATCCTCGATTTTCGCAGCCGACATCTTCTCCATTTGCTCGATCATTCTGTCGCCCAGACACCGACAGTCCGAGTCACGTAACTCTCGCATTTCCATCTGCCAAGATCCCTTTCCTTCCAACGCGAGGTAGGCGCTCCAGTGACGCTTGTAATCATCCGCGGTTGCCCTGATGTTAGAGTTTACGGCAGCTTGGGTTGTTTGCGCGCGAGTGGCTGCTCGTTGACCGGTGTAATGGGCTATCCGGTGCTTTTGAAGACACCCTTTGAGAAGAAGCTGGCTGGTGAGAGACTCGAGCGTATCTTCCAGAGCTTTCCAGCGGAGCTTAGCCTCGGCAGCTCTGGCGGCAGAGGACACAGACGAGACTTTTCCGTCTGCGGGATCGGAAGGCAGGCATAGTCGAACTATCATGGCCGTGCTAGCCTCGATATCCAGGTCCTCGTCGGTGAGCGCAGCGTATGTTGATGGCATAGCGCGCTTCTGCGCGACGCGGAATCGTAGAATCATATCCGTGAGGCCATTCAGCATCCGAGCTCGTATCGACGTCCTACTGGTCTCGCTCTCGCCGTCGTATTGTGAAGCTATACGGGCCCTGTAAGGGCGATCAAGATTTGCGACGAAATCAGATTGTAGCGCATGCGCAAACCTCTCATCCTCGATCTCCATGCCGAGCTCGATACAGGCGGAAAGTGGGTCGTCGGCGCCGGACTGCACAGAGTGATAGTCGATGACGCGTTTGGCTGCCTCCGTTTGCAGCGCAATCTGGGGAATCGATAATCCTGATGCAAAGGCCGTATCAGATTTGCGAGAATCGCATACCGCTGACGCACCCACCCCGCTGCTTTTTGACATAGTAAGGACACTCTGTATCCGGGGTCCGAGATTTATCGCACACGTCCCAAGTGCCAATGTCAAGCTCGGTCTGGGCGAGTTCTACAGGGTGATCTGTTCGCAGCGCCGCGGTGAAGTCTGTTTGGGTCGCAGTTTGAGCGCGGCCGTCATGTAGTGCACGATCCATCTTGCTTCGTAATAACAAGCCTCGAAGATCATCAGCATTACTGAACCGTTCAATATCACGAGACACCCACCAATAGTGCACGTTTTCATCCAGTTATATGCGCCAAATATATCGTCCATCACATCGTTGTTCCCTCCTGGTGACATTTCTTTTAAACTTGGCGCAGCTGAGTTGACGCTGGACCATAGACGCTCGGGTGCCTCCCCGTCGGTCATCGCTACGCCGCGTAGGTACAAGAAGGCGTATCGGAGCTGACACCACACCTTGTGAGCGTAAAGGTGAAACTTAGGGACGACGAATGATATGTTGCCTGCACTAGCCAGCTTCGCAAAGACCTGAGCGCCCGGCCAGATGACGCTCGTCGGAAGGATTCGAGCGAGGCGGGTTCCGAGATTGACAGAGTACTGGCAGACGATATCATATGATATTGTGACTTCGGGGGCGTGAATGTGTGACAAAGCGCCACAGAGCGCCCAATCCACGCTCTCATAGCTATACTTGTTTCAGATGACGGGGATATCTTCAGAACTGTCAGCCACTCACCGTTCCCCTTTGCGCAGCGGGGCTATTCCCAGAGGTTGTACCATCTCATGGCGCGCACAGACAACACCAGCAACTCCGGTCGAGCGCTGACCTTTCCCTCCCCTCGTATCAGCCATTTCAAGGGCCGCGAAGCGTGAACAGGTTGACTGTATTTCCGAGTTAGTGGATGAAGAACGGGGTCGCGTATCAAAGGTAGAGTTTCACCTTCTGTGCGAGTTCTTTGATAGTGTTCTTGATGTGCCGCGCGTAGTCCTGCCATGGAGCCAAGTAAGCTCCGCCATCCGTAAGGTTGGGGTCCCGCACGGTCGAGCCAACCAGCTTATTCGATAATCGGAAGTTTGCGTCGACTGCCAGGATAACCCGGTAGAGCCACCTATTGAGATGAATGAGATAACTTCTACGATTGAGTGAGGAGTTTACTGAAATGGTCTCGACGCCCAGTTCTCAGGCATGTTGAGCTTGAGGTTCGGGCAGGCGATACATGGTACCGCGCATGCTCCTGGAGGTGTTCCCGCGATCCCACCAGGCTCATGACCCCTACCAGCCCGCTTGAACATCATGACATGACGAAATTGCCGTACACAGTCAGCCAGTTGCTCCCTCACGCACTATCAATCGAGTCAGCATCGCCAATGTGTGTCCCAAGAGCTCCATCATACCGCAATCCCTCGAATCATTGCACCATCTGTCGCAGCCTCCAGTGCTCGGTAGAAGTCGTATAGACTCAGTCGGCCCAATAAGGACAGACGCGAAAACATATCCAAAGCCTCGAATGTTGTCGCGGTCTCGGGTTTGGAGCATGTAGCAGGCCATAGACCCCACCTCAAGAGTTGGATATGATATGGAATGTCTTGTCCAGCTTCGCAGTTGCAGAAGTCAACGGGGATGTTGTGGATACCATTGGTATGGATGATCGTGAACCTTTCCACGGAATGAAGAGTGCGGAACTTGCAGACGTCGCCCGGTCTATGGAGCACTTGAACTCGAATGCCCAGGTCAGCTCCACTGACTCGCTCATAGAAACCTGAAGCATTGAAACGCTGGTACAACGTTAGTGGAAGCTCCAGACAGGATGGCTTGTGGCGCGCACCTCTATCTTGTGCAGCGGGGAGTATCGGTGCCAGAAGACGATGCATTCTTTGCAGAGGTCCGCGCCTCGACAATCTTCGCAGCGATACTCTGGAAACCCATCGTTGCCGCAGTGTGGACACTTTTTCAACCCCAATGCCTCTGCGCGCCCATCCCGTCGTATGTGTTCGCGTACGTAGAGTTCTCGCCACTTGAACTTCCAAGGTATTATAGGACATTCCTACGCAGAGTGTTAGTCGGGGTAGTCTGTGGCAATGGCTATCACGAACATCCCATAACTTGCGGATACGCTTGGTTATGCTCGGCTCCTTCGGCCCGATCGGAGCGTCCACGTCATCCCGACTGGGCTCGCCGTCGCCAGCGCTTAGCGTAAAACCGGTATCGGTGGGTGTAGTAGGTCCTGTGCAGTATTCAGTGACTGGTGAATGTGACGGGTTCGGGCGCGCACTACTCGCAGGTGCATCGTCCAGAGATACACCGTGAAAAGGAGTCTTGAAAGCGGCTGCGAGCTTCTCCTCACCAAGTCCAGCCAAGACGCCGTTCAACACAGCCAACCGTCCGTCCTTATCCTCCCGCCGTAACAGATAGTTGTCATCCCTTGGAAGTGCTGCTAGAGACGCTGGAAGGGAGAAGGTGAAGGTCGATGCCGAACTCTTGGGCGTCGGTGTGAAGAACGTAGTCGCAGAAGTCTTCGGGTTGGTGATATTCGTTAGGAAGGATCCGTGGCTCTTGGAGCTCGCGTAACGCTTTCGCGGCCGTGGGTTGTCGTCAGTGCTGAATCGCCCCATTACAATGCCTGGAGCCGTCGAGGGCAAGAGACGAGTCGTTCGGAGGAACTGGCCAGTTGGCTACTGCTGTCGACACTCCCTGTTTCATCGAACCCCGCGAAACGACCCCTCCGTCGATCAGTGTCCCCGTTCATACTCCCAGACACGGTAGTGCCGGCGCTGATGCGTGCAAATGAAGGATATACAGGATGATCGGGGTACAGCGCCCATCAGCGAGGCGCCTAAACGGGGAAAGAAGTCGGAGAGCCGGGAAGAAATGTGATGCGTACTTTCGTAAAGCCAGTTCCGAACGCCGCAATCACCATGGCCGATACAGCTAGTTTGACACTCTCTGAGGTTCAGTACAGTCTTGTCTTCGTGTATTTCCAATGCCAGACTATGCAAGAGGCAGAGTCGGACGTCTGCACATATGGCTGTAGTAGCTTCATCATCTAGTATCGCATAACGTTAGGCGTAAGAAGGTAACCAACAGCTGGTAGGTTGTATGAATGAGTCATGAAACGACGGCATCGGCGAGCTTGGAGGTCGCGCACGCGGACACCGCGCGGCTGTTGCCGCAGTGCCTAGGACCCGTGTTGAAGTCATTTGCAGGACGTTGTGCTCTGTTGCCACGGGCAATCCTCGGACTAGTCCATTACATCTATACAGCTGTGAGTACTAGATACAGGTTGGTATAGTATGTCCCCGGCTATTACTCACCCGTGACCGTCCGTGGGTTCATCATGCAAGCCCAACCCATTGGGTCTCGTCCGAGACAATACATTCGAGCCTCGATCAGTACCTAGGAAGGTCTCAGTGCTGCATTTCTTGTGGCGACCGGTCCAAACATGTGAGGTCCGCCGAGTGTCGCATGCGAGTTGTTCTGGCCGGCGACAAGGGGCACGATCTAAGTCTAGTGATAGCTAGAACGGACTTCTGCGCTTAGGGCAATCCTCGAAAACGAAGCTCAGATTCATCGCTAGTCTTGTATGCAGTACGCAGGAAAGGAGAAAGCGACGATATAAAATACGGCGTAGCATCGCGAGTGTATCATCGAAAAATGGTCGATCTGGGGTGATGGTCTGTGTCGACTGGTCGGCGTGTCGCCAAAGTTTTCACCAACGGGGCTCTCGCCTTAAGTCATATACCGAAGGACGATGCCGAGTATGGAGTATTGGGTATTGAGGCGAAGATGGGAAGTGCAAGAGGTGGGCTTGACCCTCATCTGACTGGCGACCAAAGGTCATGGACGTTGTGACGCACATCGCTTCTTGCCACTTACAACCACTCCCCTGGAGTTCTCCCACGGCCCATATGACCTTCTACCACCCAATCGCGACGATCCACATCTCGGCCTGTTCCGCCACTCTACATCTCTCCCCTCTCGAGCGATTCGGCATTGTCTTGCAATCAACTCGTCCCGCGATCATCATCGCCGATGGCGGCGCGATCGACATACGCCGGCCTGGGCGCGAGTTGCGCTCTCGATTCCCCCACTCGCGGTGTATAACAACTAACTCTGGCGTACAAACACCTCTGGCCTGACGTACGTCTTCAGGCGTACTTTTCACCTCATCCGCTGACACGGTGTCGAGTGCGGAAGGTGATCGGGGTGCTTGGTTCCCAGTGAAGTATAATGCTGGTGTATGATGGCTCTGACGATGTACTTGGGATCGCTCGTTATCGTTCAACTTCATGAATCCAGGTCTCGGACGTAGCTTCTCCAATCAAGACATAACTACAAGCAGAAATATGAGAAGTTTTCCTGGAATGAATTGTCACGAGCGAGGATGGTCACGGAAGATGGATATGTGATTCTCAATCCTGTCCGCATGATTCCGGCATACACTAGTGAATGTGACTCAACATCCATGGTAACCATCCACGGACCGCCTCTCCCTTTACAAGAATGGCACTGGATTGTAGTGTTGCATGGAATTGCTGGTTGCACTGCGTGTAGCACAGCAGTGGGGTTACATGTTGAGCGTAGACAGCGACTCTGAGATCTTTGCGGCGCCCCAAGAAGCGCCGTGATGACTGCTCTGGACGACAACATCTGGGGGTGCAATCGGTGAAGAAATGTGACCGGAACTTGAAGGGGAGGACGGCGTCGTAAAGGGAGTTCCAGACGTCAATAAGCCACGCACGCCGCCAGTTTGCACTCCATAATCTCCGAGCATGCCGGTTCCTATATCGTCTGAGGAACGGGAAGAGGGGTGATCCACCATATCAGCGCGCGGTGATACCCCAAGATCGATGAACGGCTTCGAAGTGTCAGAACGATAAAGATCGCCACGTAGGTCAGCGCCTGATGCTGGAGGTGCGTAAGACACCGGAAGAACTGTACGTTGCTCGGAGTTTGTGGACACCTGGCGACTGATCCTCCGGACGCCTCCAGATAACTGCCGCTTATGGACCATCGACGCAATCTAGGTATTATATTGAGAATATGATGAGAATATTCACATAGACGGACGCGCACCGCGAGTTCTGTGCGAGATGGATTGATCACGTCTACTAGAGCACCTGAGCGCAATAACGAGCGGCCCGGTGCAGGTATGACCCCCGAGATGTCCTCCTCGTCGGTCTCTCCTTCGCCATCTTCTTCACGTTGCTGACTCTCCGATTGCGCATCATCTGACGGAGAGCCTTGGACCAGGCCTTGTCCTCTATGATGAGCACCTGCTTCATACTCATGAGTACATTCTACAGCAGACAGGCTGCCCACGCACTGGTATTGTGACACCCAGTCGCATGCATGACAAGCAATGCTGTACGACAGTCGTCGGTAGACATGGGACGTGGTTGTCAACCTACGAAGCACGATTCAGTTCGTTATAAGCCCAGTTTCTGCCTCTCATTCTCACGCATTCCGCACAGCCGCGTAGCGGCGCAAGCCACAGCAAGAGTTCAAACCCGACAGGTCATCACCTTTACATCGCATGCTTACTGGAGATGCGCGTGACGCTGGAAGGCATGTTCGTCTGTATAGATGGGAGCGACATGAGTGATACTGCCGGATGGATAGCAGAGAACTCTCGCACTGGATGTCCATAGGAGCAAATCGTAACCTCCCGTACAATCGAGCCTCCAGGTATTCGTGATGTAGACCGAGAGGGGCAGTGCGAGTTCTACTTCTGCCAAGAGGACACACACTTGCCATGAGCCGGTAGCATCGAGGGGCGACGTCGGACGTCCAACTCCCTGTTGACCCGTAAGTGCTTGCTCCTCAAACACACTGGCGCGAAATGGTTCAAAAAGGGGGCCTGATAGGGCGCGTAAAACCCATGTCAGCGGCGCTGAGACGGCTTGGGTCATTCCGTACCTTTCCAGCTCGGGAGGTGGATACTGATGTATTGGGGACTACACTTCCAGCACAGGTCGCCACCTTCGCGGCCTACAGGTGTATGATGACAGTTGAGCGTGAGCATAGATCTAGACCTCAAGCGGAAGATATCTGAGAAGAGTAAGCGGAGGCGTCTGGGATATAACGCATGAGGGATGCAGTCGATGGTGGGATCAGAGTGACGCAGTAGGCCAGCGCAAGGCGTGAACACGCGTGGGAGCTGCGGTCCCAAAGACAAGAATTCGAACCCATGACAGGCGTTTAGAACTCCTCAGATACTACTACTGCCACTACTAAGGGCGTCAACCAGCGCACCCCGAGGGCATACACAGGCATTGACCGAAATCTGGTATTGAAATTTTAAAAAGCTTTGATCATTGCGGTACCGGCAGTGCTCAACCACAGGACCCGTGCACTTAAGAGATCTGCCCTGGCATGACTTTATGCATACGCTGAGCACTATATTACACAAGCGTGGTCTTTGCTATGATTGTCCTGGAGCTCACGATATCAAGCAAAGGCTCTAATGTGGAGGAAGTATGTAGCGGCCGGGCTTGAGTCCATTCAGGTAGAGGATGACATTCCGCTCCGTTTCGTGCGCGGTGAAGATGGCGTCAAGCCATTCCAGGATCGCCGTGGTACGATGGCAACTGACAAGATAGTCCCCGCGCTAACACTCCGATGCTTAGCAACAGGTTCCGAGTGTCCGAGAGATCGCGCATCAAGGGTGAGGTAAGGAGAGAACAAGGACGGCGTATGTCTAGAAGATGTACAGATATAGAGAAGAACAAGTAAGAATCGTAGGGAGACTGAGCAGAGGAAAGCATGAGAAATGGCATTGTAGGTAACTCGGGTCCTCCTCCAATCGTGGGTCTCCTGTGTAAGAATCGTCGCGCCAACGGAAAAGGCCCATGGACGTCACGTTCAAAGTCCAGTTTTCGGCCGCCTAGCAACATTCGTACAGCACCCAGGACCATGCCGTGGCTTGCGGACGCCGAGCAATTAAAGAGCTTGCGTCATTTGTCCGGCGATACATTGTAGCCAGGCATCGCGGCAACCGCGCGCAAACTGCACCGAGCAGGTAGCGTGACATATTCCGCGCCGTGACGGGACATCGGGTGTCGTGTAGCGACCGTCTCGGGAGACGGGACGTATAGGGCCCGATATCCTTGTTTCGTCGAGCAACGTAGCCGGTCCAGAGGTTCGCCAGTCCATGTGCGATACCCGTGCGGTGTCGCGGATGCGGACGATCGACCGCCTGGAGGTGAAGAACGCTGCCGCGCTCCTGGGCGGTCCAGCCCAGACACTCGACGTATTCCCCACCCTTCCCCGGCGGTGGAAGGAGTGCTCGAGGGCACAGCGCAGTCAGGCCTGTTCCCGACGACGACGAAGCTCTCAGCGTTCGCCCCTCGGCCTATAGAACGGACGCCCGAGCGTTCGTACGATGCCGTTGCTTGTTCTCCACGGGGTCTTCGTGCGCTATGCGTAATAGCCAGTGGCGCCTGGCGTTCGCCATCCGCGAGATCCGCGAGGGTTGGATACGCTGAGTGGGCGCAGAAGCTGAGCGACGGCGTCTGGAGCCTGGATTCGGACGTTACAGACCGTCGAGGAGACGGGTGTGGCACTGGAGCCACAATATTGAACGCGGGGAAGCGGCCTGGGGTGTTGCGGCAGCCAAGCTTGACCGGACCCGGTCGATTGCACTCCTCAAAGCAGTCAACCTTCGCGGCACGTTCACGACGCCGATATGTGAGCTTGCGGGGTCCGCGTGGCTGTATTCCAGGCCCAGCGCGATGCACCATGCCATCTCCGACCAAGCCGAGCGCATGGCGGCAGTCCTAGTAACGGCGTCGTCCATCCCAATGCGCAGATACTGCAAGAGAGATGTGAGTAATCCGTAAATTCAGCACACCGTACGAACTCACGATTGCGGTTACTGAACGATAAAAGCCGGCCATGATAGAGTGCTCAAGCTTCCGAAGCGCGGAGATATCATGCAGGTCTTGCGGTGTATCCTTTACAGCGTGGGGGGCGCGGGGCGGATGCGACGCGAAGCCAAGCGAGAGCCGGCCAGGCCTGGCGTACTGTGCAGCCGTATACGCTGCCTCGGGAAAATGTTGAGGTGCACGCAGACCCGTTGAATCGCAAGAAGTCCAGAAGGCAACCGGTCCCCGAGGCGGGTATGGAATGCAGAAGCGAAGCCAGTCAATGCTCATAATCGTCGTCGGTGTGACCTGAGTGTGCGTGCAGCGTGAGCACCGACGAGTCTGAAGAACCGGACGATAACGTGCATACCGTCTAGCGGTACAATAAGCTGGGGCCCGCCATTCAAATGAGAAGATGAGAAGAGTAGACTTGGTTGTTGCTTGATGTGGGGTGGCGAGTCCTGGCGTAAACGGCCAGACGTCAGTACGGCGCATACTCTATTCATTGCGAGATGTCCCGACCTTGGATTATCCATCCGTCTCTGACGCGCGAGCTGACCTGAGCTACGACAAACAGTCGCAGAGGTCAATACGCAGCGTGTGGCAGTGAAAGGCTTGATGCTCGTGGTCGTGGTTCAACCCTGATCAATCCCGAGTCGCGGCATGCGTAAGTTTGGCCACGGTTTCTCGTCCAGCCTATTGCCGCCGTGCTGCACCTCCCGCATGAAAGAGTGGTCTGAGAACAGAAGGCTATACATCAGATTTGGCGAAAATAGGAGTGTGGACAGCCTGTGTATTCGACCCCGCAAGAAAAACAGGAGGAAGCTGTTATGTTATGCACAGGGCGGGACTCGAACCCGCGATGACGCCTCGGTCGCCCTGCAATCGACCGCTCATCCACGCGTCTGTATTACACTCACAGCTAGTACAACCATGACTCGGGCAAAAGGACCAGAGATCGTCCTGCGAGGCATCACCACTCTCCGTACCAGAGCTGGCCACCCTGCGCTAAGGCGCGCTGGCCTTGAAGAGACCTGTGCTAGGAGTACATAGGTAGTGAGCACGGAGGCGGCCAGGCTGCAGATGAAAACGGTGTATTGTCCTAGCTGCGCTCTGTAGACACAGGGTATGACGATCGGAATACAGTGCAGGGATATGAGGTGGTATGCTAGGTAGAGACATACAGTAGAGTGAGATGCAAGGTCATACGGTGCTGGAGCATGCTAGGCAGAGGTATACAGTAGGATGGGATGCTTTGGAATGCCGAGAAGATGCGGCCCAACGTGAGGATCAGGACCGCTGAGCCGCTCGTCCATGACTTGCCGGCGTTGAGAGCGCACTGAGTGTACGTGTCAGTCAATGCCTCCATGACAATGAACAACTTCTCGCACAGTACCTTCCCCACACGGTGCCGAGATCGGGTGCCCGACAGGCGCGCGATTGGCGCGTAAGGAAATAAAGCCGGTCGAGGAGGTCCAGAACCAAGCCGGTCAGACGCGACTTGTGACAAGTCGCGAGCGTGACATGATCTCCGTATACCGCAGACGTCCCGTGAGTAGCGACAACTTGTCGTAGTCCAGGCAAGCCTCTCATCGGCGCTTAGTCATCCTCTGTTGCGCTATCTCAGCGAATCGACGCTGGGGATATGCATACGTAGTCACGACGCGATCAATGCTGATGGATAAGTTCAAAGAATGAATAAATACAGGGTTATGACAGTGCTCGAACCAGAAAGAGCGCCGACCCGTCGGCTACTGCGTAAGATGTGTTCAAGAACATTATAGAGTACGCGTTATATCCTCCCCACCACCTCCAAAGCCACACAGTGTCGCGGCCATCCTATGGCA